TGTGTATACAGGGTGTTCCTTAAGTACATGCTGATATTTGAGGGGGACTTATTTTAAGAAGAAAACTTTATATAAATGTATGTCATAAAAGTCTTAACTTTTGAGATACAGGGTGATGAAGTTTTGAAAAATATTCAGTTTTTTGATGATAACTAAGACAATATTGTATACATCTGTATGAAATTTGGTACACGTATTTTATGCATCAAGGTGCATTTACTAATGTACGAAGATTTTCATTTTCTCTACCAAAGGCACCGTTACTGGAAAATTATTGTTTATATTTTACTCAAAAGTGACCAACGACGAAAAATTTTCAAATTTCATACAATGCTATCAAAGACTATTTGATTACGTACACAAAAGATCCTTTTGTTGATACTCGATAAAACGCTTCGTTTTCGAGAAAAACCGGAAAAACGGGACCATGCAGACTTCAAATTTTGATGTTTGAGTACTCCATTCAAGACAACCATTACTGGATAACCACCGTTTATATCATTTTGAAATTTGTATACTGATTCAGTTACATAGCAGACTGATTTTTGCCATCACGAAAAGCTATACAGGGTGGACAAAAAATAATCTATGCATATTTTCAACATTGACACCCTGTATCTCAAAAGTTTTCGACATAATATGTTCATGTGAAGTTTTATTCTTGCAATGGGTCGAATAATCGGCCCCTTGAATATTAGCATATCATCAAGGAACAGCCTGTATATACAGAGTGGACCATTAAAAACGAAACAGCGGCTCTGTAGGTCGGCAAAACCGAATTAAGGAAAAAATCTGAAACACGTCAACTACATTTTCGAGGGAGGCACCGTTCTAAAATATTTTCAGCCCTGCAGCGTTGCGCTTCCAACGAAAAGAAGCAACAACTTTGTTATTTCAAATGGAACACCTTGTATTTCATTGCAATTTCAGATTCTCCCCCATCAAGAGCTGATTCCATCAATGTATCAATGCCAATAATTATCTGAATCCTAAATGATATCCCGAAGTTGATATTTCATTTGTGAAAACAACCAGTTTATTTTTCGATCTAAGCCCGAAACTCCCTAAAGTAGGGTAAGTCGCGCCGATATTGTATACCGGCTCTGTGTACCATCACTGTATGTTTCATGAACAGCAAACAACCATCCATCTATGTATTTCGAAAGAGTGATATAACGCAATGAAAGTAGTATATGTAAACAAAAATTTCGAGATGTGCGTGCCACCTCGTTGATGGAGTGCTTTGGTATATGAATGATTTTTCGCACGAACACGTAATAGTTCATAGTTCTTTTGATATTCAGAATAAATCCGCCATCTGGAATTTCTTTATTTTGACGAAGGAATCATAATCCCTGATCACGTAAACCCTTAGGTACCAATTTGGGAAAGAATCGGGTTATAATTAAAAAATTCGTCCACCATATTGGTTCCGCCATCTTAAATTTCAAAGTTCCGCTCGAATTTTCGAATTCTGACGAAAGAATCATAATCTCCGACTCCGAAAACCTCCTGATACCAATTTTGAATAGAATTGGACCATAATTACAAAACTCGCCCGATATATTAGATCCGCCATCTTGAAATTCCTAATGGTACCAGGATTCTAAGCTACCTCTCCACCAATTTTCAGCCAAATCGAGCCAGTAGTTCCGGAGCATACTGAATACAAACAAACAATCAAATCTTTCCTCTATATAGTATTAGTAGAGATTAACCCTTATATGTATATATTGACTTAAAATAAAAACATATCAAACCATATACGATATAGCGGAAAATGTGTGAGCTGGGGTGTTATTTTTGTCACCGTACACGGTGGAAATTCCTATTGAGTGAAGCTTTTCGTCAAAAAACAAATAGAAATGTACAATTTGTACAATTTTGTTGAAACTCTGTGAAAATTGTGTACATGATTTCTCGAACATTTTCCATGTTTCTGAGACATTTTGTGTCTCGATAATTCACAGGGTAGCTATAAAATGGTTACACAATCCGATGTGGACCTGGATTGACACTAAGTTGTGTGGACCAAAAATGTTTACCGTGTATACCGGGTGGCTACGGAAGTATTGCCTACGGAATATCTCAGTTATTGTATGAAGTAGGTTTGTGAAATTTGGAGCGTCGATATAATGACATAAGAGCTGACCGGAAGTAACATCAACTTTCTTATTTTAAATGGAAACCCTATTTTTTTTTCTTTTCGCTTCATTCAGCATTCAATTCCCTTTCTAATGACATATCACAAGTTGGTATCTAACCAGAAACTAGATCAGAAAAAAATTATTATTGAAATTCACAGAGTAGGCCGTGGAAGCACAATGAAAGCCAAAAATTGAAAAGTTGGCTATGGAAACCATACGTCACTTGATAACAGTTGCTACTACTGTGATATTTTATTTTCATTCGTCGGCGTTATAAAAAGCCTCAAAAAAAAAATTGGAAAAATTGGGAAAAAACAATACTCTGTAGGTCCATAACTTAAATAGGAACATACAACTTTTTCTTGCCTGTACTATTCAGCATAACCATTCCTTTCCAATGATATAATAGAAAGTCATTTTCGCTTCCACGGCCTACTCGGTGAATTTCAATAATAATTCTTTCTGATCTAGTTTCTGGTTAGATACCAACTTGTGATATGTCATTAGAAAGGGAATTGAATGCTGAATGAAGCGAAAAGAAAAAAAATAGGGTTTCCATTTAAAATAAGAAAGTTACTTCCGGTCAGACCGGAACTTAACTTTGACATGTCAATATGCTCAAATTCTAGCTCTTATGTCATTATATCGACGCTCCAAATTTCACAAACCTACTTCATACAATAACTGAGATATTCCGTAGGCAATACTTCCGTAGCCACCCGGTATATATAGTTCAGTCATTAAGGATCAAAAATAGGTCATTTTCATGTTCAGTTTTCAGTAGTGAATACCATGTTCTATCTATATCAACTGAACAGGAAGCAATGCTATTGTCTCTGTTCAGAAGAATGCTCTACTGGAAACTGAACATGAAAATGGTAGATTCAAGATAAATTTATGAAACCATCCTCTAACTCATTTGTAGACTAAAATCACTCATTCATATGCCAACATCAGTATGACACTGAGAAGTGTCAAACTAGAAGCAGCACAATTTCCAAAGAGAGATATTTTGCATTTTTATGTTGAGGACGGGAGCAGGTTCGGTCCCGAAACGTCCAAAGATAAGTAAAAATTCGATATTTTTTCAATATATCTATATTTCTTTCCTTCAAACTTTTTTCAAACAAATTGTCCCTGAAAAGCTACTGGATTTTTTTTGGCTCTCTGATAGAAAAAATTGTTAAACGCAGTGACATTTTGGGGCAAATCATCTGATTTGTCCCACTACAAATATATTGAAATAATACGCATATTTTTATTTCATAGAAACGAGGAGAGAAAATCCCAAAAAATCAAGTTAAATGAATGATGAACTGATGAACTGAGAAACTCATATTCTTACCAATCCTTCAAGAAAAAGTTGAAATTATGGATTCAAGATAAACCGAGAAAATATGTCCATTTACTAATTGACAGAAAGAACAATATATAATTTAACCGATTCTACATCCACCAAACTTTCAGAAAAAAAACCGAATAAATATATAAATAACATTGATTACCGTCCTATATATATGTAAATTTTTTTTATCATTGTATTTTTTGTTCGTATACTTTTTCATTTACTTTTACTCTAGTTGAAGCTCGTCACTGTTCATTAATACTATTATATTATATCATAATTTTATAATATTCATAATTATTTTTTACTCATAAGTTATAGTATCGTAGACGTTTTCATCTTCGTGTATTTTCTCATTTTTTATATGATATTATGTGGACTTATAAGTGGATATGTGGGTGTGATAAATTGAGGATGAAATGCCCATGTTCAAGGTTTACCTTTTTTTGGGCGGTTGAGACCTTTATTTGTCAATACCAGCTACCACCCTCCTGATTGAATGTATTTGTTTTATTCACATGTATTATGCTAGTATTTTCGACAAATAAATTGATTGATTGATTGATTGATTGAATTGAACGATAGAAACTTGTTATTTTCATAGACCTCAATCGCAGATTCGTGATTAGGTTTTCTCAATTCAAAATTCCTTTTCACGACCTACAGTGTGACCCATTTAAGATGGAAGCACCCTTATAAAACTTACATTTTTCAACCGATTGGAATGATTATTTTTTTGTCAGGTAGATATTCAAAACACACCAAATATCATGAATAAATCTCCATTTCCAGGGCCAACTAATCTGATTTTTCAAGGTCAAAAATCTAAAAAAATTAATAGCGATTTTTTTAGAAAAAATCTGACTACACCACTGGATTTGTGACATTTTCAAATGGGTAACATGTAAATTACGTTGAAATGCGTCAATCAATAAAAAAGTTATAAAGGAATGAAATTTGAAAAATATTCCGTTTAATCAACCCATCAATTTTTATTACTGAACAGATTTCGATGAAACTGTGATCAGTAATATTTCAAGACATCCTGAATCCAGTGGAGTATACAGAATTTTCATAAAATTCCTGAACATGAATTGGTGGGTTGATTAAACGGCATATTTTTCAAATTTCATTCCTTTATAACTTTTTTATTGATTGACGCATTTCAACGTAATTTACATGTTACCCATTTGAAAATGTCACAAATCCAGTGGTGTAGTCAGAATTTTTCTAAAAAAATCGCTAGTAATTTTTTTAAATTTTTGACCTTGAAAAATCAGATTAGTTGGCCCTGGAAATGGAGATTTATTCATGATATTTGGTGTCCTAATAGACTTGTTGAATATCTACCTAACAAAAAAAAATCATTCCAATCGGTTGAAAAATGTAAGTTTTATAAGGGTGCTTCCATCTTAAATGGGTCACACTGTATATGATGAATATCAATTTATCATACATAAAAAAAAATGTCGCCATCTCAGCATCTCTTGTCTGCAGGCCTGAAAGACATGTGCGGCGAGGACCTGAAGCGCCACCAAGCCGACCTCAAGGTCCTCGACCAGTCGCGCCTGGGCGGCCTCTGCGACGCGGGCGGCGCGCTGTCGGGCCTCGGGGCGGCCCTGGGCGGCCCCGGGGACGGCGACAAGCCCTCCAAGCAGAAGCGCCACCGCACGCGGTTCACGCCTGCGCAGCTCAACGAGCTGGAGCGGTGCTTCTCGAAGACGCACTACCCGGATATATTCATGCGCGAGGAGATCGCGATGCGGATAGGGCTGACGGAGTCCAGGGTGCAGGTGAGTCGAATTATAATAGCTGCAACCGACACAAAAGTCGTCCATTTTGGTACCAAAATTAGCTCTTAAATTGACGTTTCTATTACTGACACAAAAATAGGTATGTTGCTAAGCAACATATTTAGTTCCTAGGAACATAAGTTCCTAAGAGCTAAAGTTGAACTTTAGCTCCTAGGAACTAAAAAGGATGCACTGGATGTCATCAAGAATGAACAACATTGTTACGGTTGGTTATTTGGGTTGAGACGCATACTTGATTTGTTTCCGATTTCAGCAGATTTGGCATTTCATACCCTTGCTGGAGATATCAATACACCTCATTATAGTTAGGTATTGGAATTATAAACATCTCAGTTGAGTATTTTTGTTTTGATCAGGAAAGCTCTCAAGATTCAAATACTTGCTTGATCTGTATTTCATTCGTTATTATCGGAATGGATAACTTGTTTTTGAATAATCACCGCAAGCAATAGTTTTTTGTCTCAAACAACGATGTTGTTACCTTCATTTGATTATCAAGTCAAACACAGTGTAGTATGTTGAGGAATGAATAATTGCTATTATTATTGTTGGTATGCTCAATAACCTAACATTTTCCACGTCTTGTTCCCATAGCTGGTACTGGCGCGGTATTTGCCATTAGATCACCTGGTCCATTCACAAATATGTCACTATGTGGTTGTATTCATATTGATACTACGATTCGAACATCCTTGAAAATTGAATAAACCTGGTTAATGCAGGTAGAATATTCTCACCACACGGATTTTGCATTGAGTTTGATTTGTTGCATTGCATTCATATGGCACGGCATTGGTGGTTACTTCACATATTTATTCGAGTTAATTTTTTCGTTTGCAGAAAAAATAGCATGTTTCATTCGGATCAAAAGTGACTTTGTTCGACTCGCAAGTTTCGCTTTCGCTCGGCTTCGCTAAACGCTCCGCCTCGCAAATGCAAAATTCGCTTGTCAAACGAAGTGTCACTTTTGATCCTAATAAAACAATCTACTATTTTCTGCAACCGATACAAAAGTCGTCCATTTTAATACCAAAATTATCTCTTGAATTGACGTTTCTATTACTGACACAAAAATAGGCAACATATTTATTTCCTAGGAGCTGGAGTTGAACTTTACTTCCAGGGAGCTAGAGTTGAACTTTAGGTTGTAGGAGCTTAAGTTAAACTTTAGTTCCTAGGAGCTAAAGTTGAACTTTAAATCCTATAGGAACTAAAAAGGATGTGCTAGATGGCATCAAGAATAAACAACATTGTCATGGCTGATTTGTTTCCGATTTCGGCAGATTTGGCATTTCATACCCATGCTGGAGATATAAATAGACCTTATTATAGTTGAGTATAGGAATTATACACATCTCAGTTAAGTATTTTTGTTTTGATCAGGAAAGTCTTCAAGATTCACATACTTGCTTGATCTATATTTTATTCGTTATTCTCGTGATGGATGACTTGTTTTTGAATATTCACGGCACTTAACATTTTCCACGTCTTGTTCATATACCTGGTACTGACGCGGTATTTGCTATTAGAGCCCCTGGTCCATACACAAATATGTCACTCTGAGCCTACGGCTCATGCTGCAAACTTCATTCTCGTGGAAAATCACTATCATTCCGTGCTCGTTGAACAATATACTATTTTCTACTACCTTACTAAAAAACTTCATTTCAGACCCTCAACTCAAAGAAGGGAGGAAAATGGTGATTTTCCTCCCGCCTGGAATAAATCAACTTCCTTTCCTGAGAACAAAAATATTCGTCCCTCTAGGTGAGCGCTGGCTTCTCTTATGAGGAATGCTATTGATTTTGGATACTACTAGTCTTAATATCAAACGTTACATATACAGGGTATCCAGAGAAAGGTTATGTCGAGAATGATAGGGCTACTAGAGTGGACCAAAATAATGTTAGTACTTCATATAAAAAAATGTCTATCGCATGTTTATCGCGCGTCGTTACACAGTTATTGACCTCGAAAGTTTATATGAAGAAAAAATACAATTTCAATAGAGAAAAGATGAAGAAATTAAACGGTGGAAGCAAAATATTACATTGTTCTCCAAGCGGCAGAGATAGTGGCTTCTTGCTGCCGCTTAACAGGCAGAAAAGATGTACTTTAACTGCCTAGGCCGAAAATGCCACTGACATTGGGTGAACACACAATGATTGAGTTTTCAATAGAAAAATCACACAAAATTGGTTTTATATCATTTGGAGAAAAAATTCTACGTTTCACACGGCAGCAAATGTAGATTGACTACCTTGGCTGAATTCCTAGCCTCGCTATACGCTCGGCTATGAACTATCAGCCGCTGCAGTCAATCCTCTACTTTTCTGCCTAGTAAAACAAATTACTATTTTCACCTCCTTCAAAAAACGTGACCCGTCCTGAATAAAACATAATCACTGAACATAATCACCTCCGTATGCGAGCGTTTAACCCATTGCGTTCGAGAACGGTGATGTCGTGACTTCCCCTTCCGTTAATCACGATTTTCTGGCAAACGATTAGTTGTATGAAAGAAAAAGCAAGAGACCAAATTCTCACATTTTTTATGGCCCATATCAATATCATGTTATTCAAAGTCAGAGTTTATGGCCTGGAAACTATATACAAACCTCAGGAGGAAAAGTAATAGTTTCCTCCCTTGGTACCTATTTGAATAGTTATTTATCTACTCCACTGAATCAATTTAATCAGCAGCAGCAGCTGTATAGTGTAGCAGTATAGTGTTTGTGGAGTTGACTGTTTTTTTCCTGTCTTATATAAAGTGTTTTCGATTCGAACTCGCAACATCCTCCCAGTTTGGAGTAACAGGATGTTTTCGTTGATTGATCTTGAATCTACCATTTTCATGTTCAGTTTTCAGTAGTGAATATTATGTTTTATCTACATCAACTGTATAACTCATTTATTTATTTACATCATCAAGCGGAACATAATTTTGTAAGAAAAATATTTTGCATTTTCATGTTGAGAACGGTAGCAGATTCGTTCCCGAAACCTCCAAAGCTAAGAAAAAATTCGATATTTTTTCAATATCTCTATATTTCTTCTCTTCATACTTCATACATACAGCGAGTCATTTGATTCGTCCTATTACACATATATTGAAATAATACCCATATTTTCATTTTGTTGAAACGAGGAGAGAAAATCCCCAATAATAAAGTAAAATAAATGTAACAGACACTTTCCCATTGCCTAAATCACCGATATGACTGTGTAAATCTAAGCTTTTACCACTATAGTTAAGCTAACAAAAGCTAACAAAATTTCATCCAAATTTGAAGAATTTCTGATACATATAATATATACTTGAGGGGTATATGAACAAATATGTCCCTGATATTTCCAGAAGATATTTCTACCACTATTCCGAAAAAAAAATTAACACCCTGTAAGAAGAAATCACGAGCTACCGCGGGCTGACAATACATATCAGGAATGGGGATATACGATTCTGATCGTAAAAGGTGTTCATAACTGCGTGAGATGACTCATTGGGGTGCAACAAAGATGGGTTAATGAATAAGGGATGGAACTCGAATGATACTTGTATAACAGTGAAATGACATCTTTCAGGATTTAAATGATTATCTTCTAAATTCCATCCTTTAAATAAAATCTTGTTCCATTCCATGGTGAGCTGTTTCACGTTGAAAACGTCAACTTCACGTTCATCAGTTGAAATTTCGTTATATCACTTAGTAGTTATACAATTTTTTCGAATAGAGACTTGTATAAATAAATACAAAAAGCTCGAAGTCATATCCCCACACTATCCATAAAATGAACAACAATAATGGTAGATTTCGGGAGAAAAACTACTTTCCTGGATAATGTTTAGAGATGTTTGTATAACTGGATTTTGCTAGGTGCTATATCTATACAGGGTGTTTCGAAATTCGACCGACAACGTTTGACAGGTGATAGCCCTCGTGATTTCATAATCATTGAGATAGGAACATTCGGTCTTCAAGTGTTCAGTTCTCGAGATACAGGGCGTTGAAGTTGAGAAATGAAAATAGTTGTTTCGCAATATCTCAAGAATAATTGAATATAATGCATTCAACTTCGGTATATGGTTTCATCTTTGAATGGGTCATTTTTTGACCTGGAAGCCATTCCGGACATTTTGTCCAGTGGTGCCCTACAGGGGGTTGTGGCATTCTTTCCTTCCATATTTTCTACGCCACTGATTAAATTTCGATTATTTCCAATTCCTCGAATTCATTGTTCAATTTTGTTCGGAAAATTCATCACCTTCAACTGAGCTGAAATAAACAGTTTTCGAGATATTCGACCAAAAATAGAAGATTGCATAGTAATATTTCATCATTTTCAGTAGTAGAAAATTGCAAAAATATTTTTCTGGTGTTGAGTAGATTAGATACTATTCAGATCTCATGCTATAGCTGAACAGAAATAGTTATTCCACGCATAAAGAGAGAACAAAAATGTTCGTAATTTTCTAATACTGAGGAAGATGAAAAATTACTATGCAAACTTCTATTTTGGATCAAATATCTCGATAACTGTTCATTTTAGCTTAGTTGAAGGTGATGCACTTTTTCAACATAATTGAACAATCAATTCGAGAAATTAGAAATAATTGAAATTTCATCAGTGGCGTAGAAAATATGCGCGGAAAAGTTATCACAACCTTCTGTAGCGCACCTCTGGATAAAATTCTCGGAATGTCTTTCTGGTCAAAAAATTAACCATTGGAAGATCAAACCATATACCGAATTTGAATGCATTATATTCAATTTTTCATGAGATATCGAGAAAAAACTATTTTAATTTCTCAACTTCAACGCCCTATATCTCGAGAACTGAACACTTCAAGACCGTATGTCCCTATCTCAGAGATTATGAAATCACGAAGGTTATCACCTGTCAAGCGTTGTCGGTCGAATTTCGAAACACCCTGTATATTTCATAAAATATTACCTATTCGCATCATATTTTCTTACGTAGGAAGATACTTACTCTAAGTCTTCCTAATTCCCTGAAATTCATTTGTGCAGAATTTCAATTTATATTATACCTTCGTAAGAGAGTTATCCAAAGTCGGGAAATCCTCCGGTATTTCAGGATTAAAGTTAGACATCCAGACGCAGACCTAAGCTCAAAATCCTCACAGTTTGTAGACAGTTTCCTGTTTCAGGGAACACCAGCCCATCCATGCATAGAACTAAAGGTATACGCCTTGCCAAATATATGAAAGTGGAGATAAATGTTGTTCGATAGGTAATTCTAGGATATCGCGAAAATCATAATAATATGTCTCAACAATATCATTTTCACTCATAATTACAACATCATTTTCTCTGAAAAAACTATGAATGCTAAGTTTACTTCGACTAAAAAAAAAAGCTAGAGTGGAATTCGGTAAGACAATTTAATTCATGAAACATTTTGTTTATGGCTGGTTGTCATGCTTTCAAAAGTTAGGTTCTGTTATTGTCGCTGGAAAAGATAGGGCAAACTTTTTTCGCTGTCATAATGAAAATATCACGCGGCTTGTGGGATTATTCATACATGAATCAAATTGTCATTGTAATTTTAAATAGGTATTGTTGGGAATAATGTTTGGTTCATATTGTAATATTTTGAATCACATTGTATATGTTCTTTATGTTCTTGCCAGCTCAAAATATAATAAAATTGAGATCAAGAGTCACTTGACTATTCTATTAAAGTCAACATCTGCTAACAGGTTATGGGCCCAGGAGCAAAGTTGAACTAGCATAATTATATTTATTGTTGTAAATTTTGGAAGATATTTCGAAGGGAGGCCAAATACGATATCAAATAAAATATACAATATTTTGAGGAATGTCAGACTTGACAAGAGTCAATTTCGAAAAACTCAATGCGGTAATAATTTTTCCGTTTGGAAATTCAAGATGGAGCTGTTGCTCATAAAGGAGGAATGGTGGGATGTTATCTCAGAAGAGGTTCCTGTGGACCAACATGTAACATGGAAATGGGGGAATGGCAAAGTTAAAGCATTTATTGGGCTGGATGACCAGAAGTCAAATTCATTTTCATTCAAATTGTTTGGTAGCTGCATTTCTTGGATGAGTAGGAGACAACAATGCGTTATACATTATAATCTAACGAAGATATGTGGCGTTAGCAGGAGCTGCTCAGGAAGCTGTTTAGCTGAAGAGAATTCTGGAAGGTTTTGTTGTTTTTATCGAAAATGAAATAATTTTTAATGCAGACAATCAGAGTTGTCTGAAATTGATACTCAATGAACAATCAAGTCGGAGATCGAAGCATATTGACACAAAATATAATTTTCTGGAATATTTGAAGAATGAGAATGAATATTGTCCTTCCAATTGTATGATAGCTGACGTCTTGACTAAACCACTTGAAGTAACGAAGCTAAATATATTCCCCGAGTTAATGGGACTAAGGTGACGAGCCACCATTAAGGAGGAGTGTTGGAAATAATGTTTGCTTCATATTTCAACATTTTGAATCACATTGTATATGTTCTTTATGTTCTTGTCAGTTTATTATACAATAAAATTGAGATCAAAAGTCACTTGACTATTCTATGGAATTCCACATCTGCTAACAGGTATATCACAATAAGCTATGTTCTACGGCTATACCTAACACAAAATTGCTCTTGTTTTACTCTGTTCGATAAATCAATGAGGTACTTTGTATGCCATCAATTTTATTTCCATATCTGATATCACGATGACTCCATCGTGTTATTATTTCACAAAATCTCATTTCCCATGAAGTGTCAAATTTCAAGCTATGACAGCCCTGTCTTGTGTTAAACAAGTTTATCTTACCAAAACATCACAACTTGAACTTATACATATATAAAAAATTCAATTTCTACAAATATGAATTAATTTTTTTTACAATAGTTCCAATATCTCGAGATCCGTGAGTTTTTTACCGAGCTCAAAATGTGGTTTTCTGATAGGTTATGAATTTGTTTATAACTGGCTAGAGTATGTATATGATCCATGGTGTAGCGGACACCCTGTATACTGATATTTCGTTATTCCTCCAAGTCTCCAGTGGAAATATCGCAGTAACAGTAATATTTTCTTCAAGTAATATTTTCGTTTCGAAGCAGTAGGTATTTAATCTGAGTGGGTAATCACTTTTATTATATTCAATATATGGAAACCTATTCATAGCAAGGAGCTGAAAATTCTTCATCTCATTGAGGTATTAATACTTGGAATATTGATGGAAAAAAAATCTGACCTTAACGGTGAAAATCTAGAATTAAAGGGTGATAGAAAAAACAGTGGTTTTTTTATATTTTTTTGTAGTTGGCAATTTTTTCAATCGATAAATCACTCTGTACACCATGGAATGCATCATAATGTGTCCTCAAAAATTATAATCAATACCCTAAAGCAACCCAATAATACGGTGGCTCAATAAACTTCATTTTCTGAACATCAGCATTTACGAATCACCATGTATAATCAATACATATAATGAATCCATTTTATGAAAGAAGAACATATCGAATGATCATTTTAATTTTTAAATTTTCATCAAGTTGTAGTATCGATATTTAGAAATTGAAAATAACACAATAATTCAGATGTGAATCACCCTGTGATGGAGATCAGCTTTGGTAGATTCTGTACATGGTTGTTCTACCCAAAGGTTAAACTGATAAACTGCTAGCAGAAAATTCTGATTCATTTGTTTTTACTTGGAGATATGGGTATAGATGAAAAAGAGGCATATATCAACTTCAACACCCTGTATCTCAAAAACTGGTCATAAGGATCGGATTGGGACTCGGCATATTTGATCATTAAGTCTCGAGTACTATAATATACCAGAAATTCAGAAAATTCGACAGGACGCCATTTTCATATAGAAAAAGTGCGGGGTTCTTTGTCATATAATTCTTGTTTCTGTTGTTATAGTATCTATTGTTAACTCGATCGTTATTGAAGCAATAAGAACATTATATGCTTCACCACTAGACCATTGGCCATTTAATGATTCATGAACAGATATAAGTACATGTTGTATTTTGCGAGAAGCAGAGATTATTTATACGATCCATGATTTATACTTGGGGGTAGTTTTCATCACTCCCTTAGGATTTGATGCGACAACATCGCACCTTCCCCCACAAAAGGCAAGCTTCATTATACAGTCAAATGCCTGTTTAAATATTTAATGAAGAGTGATGATTTGAACCAAGGGCATAAAAAGTTTGCAAATAATGAAAAGTCGCTTCTGATGCTTGGAGAAAAGCATCAGGCAGATCCTCCTAACAAAAATTGGTTTTTTACTGCTATACTGATGTTACACAGGATGTTTCCGAAATCAAAGCTATACCAATGAAGTGAATGAAAAACAGTCTGAATTAAATAATTCTGTATACAGGGTGAGGCAGTTTTTTGTAGCAGGACTTTAACAGCGTTGAAGAAGATACTATTTTAAGAGGGAAATCTCAAATGAACATACAGTGTCCTATCAACTTGAAACTTGGCAGATGTTCATAATTCCGGTGACAACACAGTATGGAATTTTTGTTGAAATAAAAAAAATGGCTGCTCCAATATGGCGGACAAGATTTGGTCCGATTCCAATCAAATTTGGTAAGTGGGGGTTTTTGAGGTCGGAGATCATGATTTTTCTGTTGAAATTTATAAATTCAAGATGGCGGCTTCCAAATAATTTTTTGTTTTTGTATAAATGACGATAACTCCGTTGTTATCAACACAAAACTATTACAGCGACATATCATCTGTAAGAGAAAAAAAAGTTATTTGTAACTAAGTCATAGTAAGCTATGACCTACATTTGAAAAACTAAAGTTGGTGCTGATATCTCAAATTCTAGAAGAGTTGGTATGAATTTCATATTTTTTTCGAAATCACTTCGGAAAACTGCCATGAGAATATGAAATTCCTATTTGAATATTTTCATAAATAAAGAAGTTACGTAGGAGACATGAAAATGATCAAAATCTGTTTTTTGCGTATAAAAAAAAAACGAATAGATTTCATCAAAATATTTCTTCACATTATAGTTGGCCTTGACAAACTCCACATTTGGTGTCATTTAACCGACCTCGTATCTCTCACCGTTATAAAGATACCCATGGTGAGCATGGCAAGTGGGACACACTGTATAAATGCGTAGGGGCCCTTTTTTCGATATACAGCTGCATGTTGTGACATTTTCATATATTTTTTTCGAAAAATAGAGTTTTATCACAAGTGAATTATTTTTGGCATTTTCTCGAGATCCATACAGATTTCTGAGAACATGATGAAGAGCAAAAGTATCCAAATAATAAAACTGAGAATCTAGATTGATATTTCATTGAAAGCAAAGGCAGCACTGCAGAAAAGTTCAAGAGGGATTGATTGGGTACAATCCCCAAAAGTGCATCACCCTGTAGGTGATCTGAATCGCCTTATAGCCCTGAATATTGAGTTTGTCAAGTGTACTAAGTATATCAAATCTCAATTCATTATTTTGAAAATTGTATATAGGAGAAAACTTGTAGAACATTCAAAAAAATCCCAAACTTTCACTCCCTGTATATCGGAAACCGAGCTTCCACGCATATATGTTCACATGTCCAGCTACAGAAAACTGACTCACCCTGTATAATCTTCGACGAAATAATTATTCACTACACTGTTTTACCACTAACCAAACCGATTTTTTAAACTCATCGACGCACGTGTTTCGCTAACTATGTTAGCATCTTCAGGAGAAGATCAAAAGTTTTAATCTTCTCCTGGTAAATGTGTTCTTTTCGCAGACGATACTTATTTAGTGTCAACTAGTAGTGATATCAAGAAACTCTTGAACAATAATGACGAATCACTCAAACATGCTTTGCGATGGTTTACAGCTAATCAATTGAAATTAGATGAAGAGAAGACAAAAGAAATCACTTTCTCTAGAAATAACACCACCGCCGATTATCGAAATGAAAAATTGCTTGGTATAATTCTGGACGGAATCCTATCCTGGTCAGACCATATATATTAAAGAGTTAAATAGTAAACTTTCTAGGTGCATTTTTGCCTTATGAACAACTCGAAGGAATCTTGAACATCGATGCCCTGAAGTGCATACTTCGTTATGTTCCACTCAAACTATGGTATAATCCTATGGGGTAACTCCTCTCATGCTATTAAAATTTTCAAGCAACAGAAAAAGGTAATCAGAATTATGATGAACGCAGAG